GAATTCCAATTCTTCCACAACTAAAATTGGTACAGTCAGTCTTTTATTTTTAGCCTTATAATAACTGTGTAGTTTCTCATTGTGATTTTAATTTGTATTCCCCTAATGACTAATCATGTTAAGGATTTCTTTGCCATGTGTGTATCTTCTCTGATGAACTGCTCAAATGTTTTGTGAGTGGTAGGATCAACTTTTTATATTCTGAATACAAGATATTTGTCAGATATGTGATGTACAAATATTTTCTCCCGGTCCATAGTGCGTCTTTTCATTCTCTTGACAGTGCTTTTCAAAGAACAGAAGTTCTTAATTTTTTAAAAGATATTTTAAAAAATATATTTGACACATATACAAATGTAGATGAACACACAGTATCTTTATTTATTTTCATGTGGTGCTGAGGGCTGAACCCAGTGCCTCACACATGCGAGGCAAGCACATCACCACTGAGCTACAGCCTCAGTCCCCAGTTCTTAATTTTATTGACCTCTAAATGTATCAATTTCTTCTTTAATGGATTGTGTTTTTGGTGTTCTAAGAAATCTTTGCCTAACCCATTGGTCACAGAGATTTTTTCCTGTCCTCTTACAGAAATCATATAATTTTAGATTTTACATTTAGGTTTATGATATATTTTGATAGTTTATGATATATTTTGACTTAACCTTTGCATTGTTTTACAGAATGATTTTTCACTTTGGGTATATGTTGTGTAGTATGGGTAGAATGTCTTTCTCTTTTTTTCCTTCATACTTTTGTAAAACAGCAGTTGACCAGACACACAGGTCTATTTCTAGTCTTTCTATTCTGTTCCATGGATCTATTCATCTCTCTTGATGCCAATACCACATATTGAAGTTACTGTAGCTTTATAATAAGTCTTGAAGTCAGGTAATATGATTCTTCCAACTTTTTTCTTTTTTCAGAGTTGTTTTGGCTCTTCTGGGTCTTTTGTGTTTCCATATGAATTTTAGAATTAGCATGTCAATTCCAATAAAAAAAAAGACTGCTGGGATTTTGATTGGGATTGCATTGAGCTGATAAATCAATTTGGGTAGAATTGATGAGGCCCTAACAGTATTGAGTCTTTGGATCCATTAACACAGTATACCTCTGTGTATATTTAGGTTTTCTTTAATTTTTCTCAGCAATATTTTGTAATTTTTAGTGCACCTGGCTTACATATCTTTGATTAGATTTATCCCTAAGTAATTCATATCTTATACTATTGGAAAATGTATTATTTTTAAAAGTTTTAGTTTCCAGTTGATTGATGATGAAATATTTTTGAATTTCATATACTGAGCTTGTATCCGGCAACCTTGCTGACTCGTGTATTAGTTTTTATAGATTCTATTGGATTTTCTACACAGATGATCCTGCCATCTGTGAATAAATGTAATTTTATTTCTTTCTTTACAATCTGGATTCCTCTTCTTTCTTTTCCTTGTCTGATTGCTCCAGTACCATGTTGAACAGGGGTGATAAGAGCAGATATCCTTGCCTTGTTTCTGATCATAGGGGGAAAGCAAATCAGTATTTCATCACTAAATATGATGATAACTGTATTTTTAATAGATGCATTTATCAGTTTGAGGAAGTTACATTTTATTCCTAGTTTGTTAAGGTTTTTTTTTTTTAAATCAGAAATGGATGTTAAATTTTGTCAAATGTTTTTTCTGCATCTATGGACACAATCATATGGTTTTTCTTTTGTAGTCTCTTCAAGGTAAATTACATTGAATGACTTTGGAGTGTTAAACTAACCCTGTATTCCTAGGATACCCCACTTGGTTGTGATGTATTATCCTTTTAATATATTGTTGGGTTGAATTTGATGAAATTTGGTTTAGAATTTTTGCAGTTGTGGTTATGAGTGATATCAGTTGATACCCCCCTTTTTTTTTTAAATGTCCTTGTCTGATTTTGGTATCGAAGTAATACTACTGGCTTTGTGAACTTTGTAGTAGTCCTTCCTCTTCAACTTTCTGGAAAAGATTGCATAGATTTGTTAGCATTTCTTTCTCAAATGTTTGTTAGAATTCATCAAGGAGGCCATTTGGTTATGAAGGGTTTTTTTTTGTTTTTTGTTTTTTGTTTTTGTGAAATTATTTGAAACTACAATTTCAACGTCTTTAATAGATACAGGAAAATTGAGGCTATTTCTTCTCAAGTATACTTTAGTAATTCTCTGTTGCTGTATTTTTAATTGTTTACACAGCTCTTTGCAATATCTAACATGTTCTTATTTCCTTAAATTACTTATTTTTTTTAATGTTTCTCCCTGACAAGACTGACCTCCAGAAGTCAGAGATTGTCATGATCATGTCTGTACCTGGCACAGAATATGAGCTTGATTAATAACTGTGGAATTAACAATTAACATTTTAATATTTACATATCATGTCATGGAGAGTCTCATTTTATACCTGTGGAAACTGAGGCTTAGAGAAGTAAATTGACCAGTATCACATAACTTCACAAGTGGATCAAACACATGAACTTGCTCCTGCATAGTTTTCCCTGGAAATGTTTATGCATTAGCGAAGTAAAAGAGTAATGTTGCCCAGAAACTAGACAGGGGTCTCAAACTTTGGCATGTGTGAGACTCACCTGGAGAACTTAGGAAAGATGCCAGGAACCGCATCCCTCGCAAGCTCCCCAGATTTCGATGTGCATCTTGGAGAGACCACACTCAACTGTGGCCAGCTGTGCAAGTCCAGGGGCAGGAGCAAGGCTGCTCTGTTCAGAGAAGGAAAGGATGTTTGGTATGAAGGGACCTAGAGAGGGTGGCTGTGAATTCTGAGTATTCGGGACCGCAGCCTTGAAGTCAGGGCATTTGCAGATATGTGCAAACCAGCCCCAGAGCACTAAATCAACGCCAGCAAATCTCAAGTTCAGAGTCAGTTATGAGCCAGTTCCTTAGATTGTACTCCTGTGTTTCCTAAGTGGTAGATGTAGGGCTAATACTGTTTCTCTGCTTTTAATAAAAGGCTAAAGTATAGGGGACCTTCAAGCTTTCCTTGGATAAGTTCCCAGAAATCTCACCGCCTCACCTAGCCCTGTTCCTTACTCCCTGTCTGGCTCCATGGGAAGGTGGGACCAGGATTTGTGGGAAGGAGGACAGGGGAACAGGTCCTGGGCTGCTTGCTGGGGAAAGGCACGTTTAGCGGATGCCCCTCCCAGGGGCTTGGGCACAACAGTCCTCTTGGCATATTCATGGAAGAAGGAGGAGTGGGTAGATAGAGAGACCTAGACCCTGCAACTCTGCCCTCAAATTTGCTTGTCGTTGGAAATCCCCCTCCTCGTCCTCAGCCTGTGCAGATAAGGAAAGAGCTGGGGGGCACGCAGTGGGGGCACGCAGTGGTGACACGAGAAATCGGGGGCAGGTGCTTGGGTGATGGGGTTGTGGCGCATGCTCTGCCCCCACCCCCTGGGCCTTGGTTGCCCGTGCAGCCCACAGCCTCAGCTGGTTTCCCGCCCCTCTGTCCTCCAGTGTCACATTGGGTGAGCCTTCTGCAGCAATAAGGCAGAAGTGGCAGACACAGGCAGTGAGGACGGGTGCCCCATGGGGCAGACGGAGAGGGAGGGCCGGAGGGAGAGGCATCGAGGGAGGGGGCAGAGGGCAGGCATCTGAAGTGGGTCTGAAGTGGGTGCCAAGGTGCTCTGCTGTGGGTGTGGGAGTCGGGGGTCCTCCCGGAGGCAGTTGACATAACGCTCGGCTTGGCTGTCAACTGGCCTGGAAGCTGATAGAGTCATTTGCCTGCCTTCACCACATTGGCTGGGACAAATGGAAGGGCACTTGTCCCCTGGAGGAGTCCCTGCCATCCCGTGTTGGAATGGGGCTGAACAGATGTCATTGCCTTCATGTGGGAAAAGGCGACCCTCCCTGGGCAGAGTAGCCGCTTGTCTTTGCGTCCTAGTCTCAGCGACAGGGGTACAGGGAGGGGTCTTGGTCAACTCTCAAATGGTAGAGGAGGGAAGTCACTGTGCTTGGTGTCAGAGAGTGGCACAGGCAGAATCCCCTCGGCAGACATTATGAACGTGAGGTGCTTGATTCAGTTGGGTGTTTGTGTAAGTATTTCTAGAACTGACCCATAAGTGCCCACGAACGTGTCAGCTTAAAACAACCTACATGTTGGCCTCCTGCATGTCTGGGGATCAGGAACCCAGCGCCGCTTAGCCAAGATTTCTGTCCAGGGGCTCACAAAGCTCCCGTCCCAGCATTGGCTGCCCTTAGCACGTATCTGGGTTTGGGGCCAGGCTCCTCTTTCTGGCCACACAATTGTTGGCAGGATTCAGTCCCCTAGTGATCATAGGATTGAGGTTCCCTGCTCTCGCTGGCGGCCATCCAAGGGCTTCTCTTGGCTCCTAGCAGTGCTCACAGGGCCCAACCACGTGACACTCACAGGCTCTCTCATGCAGCAGTTTACTTCCTTACAGTTGCCAGGAGAAGCTGGCTCTCTCCTGGGAGGGACCAGTCCCTCTTTTAAAAGGGGCCATCAACTGTTTAAGTGAGGCCCACCCAGGATAATTTTCCTTTTAATTAACTCAAAAATCAACTGATTTAAGACCTGGATTGCCTCACTCCATCATGTTCAGGAGTCCCACCCCCAATGCAGGGAGGGAGAAATGTAGGCATATTTACAAGGAGGCAGGGATCTCGGGGGTTGTCCTAGAATTCTGCTAGCATGAAATTTAACTTCATTCTTTGTGTGTGAGAGAGAGAGAGAGAGAGAGAGAGAGAGAGAGAGAGAGAGAGAGAGAGAGAGAGAGAGGTGTTTGCATTTTTAAAGATGAGTGGAATGATGGGTGCTTGCTCCGTGTTAGCAGAACAAAGGAGTTGTAAAAATCCCACCTGCAATTCTGTTCTGCTCTGCCCTACCCTTCCTTGCTTATAATGAAAACAGTTGATAATTCAGAATTTTTACTATAAACAGTGACTGTTGCATGGATAGGAACCAAAAAGAGCATTTGCTGTATGTGCTCATTTCTTACAGGGAATTGGTGGGAATCAGCTCAGCCAATGACTGCTGCTGTTGGCCATCTGCTGGGACATGCAAATAGCTTATAGAATCACAGAGCCACAGACTGTCGGAGCCAGAAGGGCTTTGGGGATCTTGTCATCCAACCCATTCGCAGCACAGATGATGGAACTGAAGCCCAGAGAGGGGATGTGAGTTGTGCAATGTCACACAGCTGGTGGGTAGCAAGGTTTACTGGGAACCAATCAAGGGCCACTCTTTCAGCCTGCAGGTCTCAGGGGAGAATGGGGAGGGGGAGATGGATCCTAGGCTATCTCATATCCTTTCTATGACACCAGTCGGCCTCATTATACAGTCCCTGTCCCTCTAAAGGGACTGGCTTCATAGAGTCCTTAAAGTGTGAAATATTAAGCAGCAGGTGCCTTCCTTCTGCTTGGCCATGGGGAGCAGACAGAGGGGACTGCAGCCTGACCACAGATGGGGTGGCAGCAGGAGGAGGGGCTCTGCAATCTGCAGAATGGCAGTGCTCGTGCATGGGTGTGTGCGTGTGTGTGCGCACTCGTGTGCGTATCCAACTGAGATTAAGCCCCCAAAGCAAGACTCAACCTGGCCGCCCCTTCCCCCGTGCAGTCACAGCCTGCCTGTGACTATGTCACCTCCATCCCTCCAGCAGCCTTTATCAGTATCACAGATGCTGATTCACAAGATGCAGGTTGCCAAGGAGGGTGATTAATGGTGGCAGCTGTGGTCCCTCTTACTCCCCCAGCCTTCCTGACCTTGTTCTGCCCCTCCTCTTTCCGGCTCCCCTGTCCCCTCCATTCCCCAAGGAAAGTGATAAACATTCGAGGATGAGCGGGGAGGGAAGGGACTCAGCCCCGCGGGGAGCTGCCGTGGGCCAGGCCTTGTGCCAGGCTCTTTTATTTGTTCTGATTTGACAATGCTCACGGAGATGCTGCTGGGTATGGTGGGACGCAGAGGGGACTGTGTTCTTCCCATGTCTCTGGAGCAGACAGTGCCAGGCAGGTTTCTGTGGATGTGTCGGTCCCTCATTGGGCACATATGCTGCTCCTGTGTCTTCTGGTGTGCATGTTGTCAACATGCCAAGCTCTCCCGGGTGCAACCATGTCACCCTGGAGCCTTTGGGTGGAGGCTGTAGGGACCTTTACACTCATGCACTTTACCGGGAGGGTGTAATCGAGGCCCAGTGGAAACATGACTTGCTCAAGGCCACAAAAGCTGGCCTTTCCTAGAGGCTGCCCTCGCATCTAGCTTTCATTTTTCCTGATGCACTTTTATTCTTCTCTGGGAGCAGGGACATGGCTGCTGAGTCTGAGCTGTAGGCAAGAGCAGGGAGATTCCAGCCATGAGGGTGGCATCTCCCAACATCCACCTCCAAGCTGCTTTGCCCAGCTTCCTCCTTGATGATGGACCTGCTGTCCTGGTGGGTACCATGGACTGGGCACTGTGTGAATGCCTGTGTGTGTGGCGGGTGGCACAGGGCTGCCGGGTGTGTTCGGCTGCAGTGCTAACATGCACACAGAACGCCAGGGCCAGTTCCTGATTTGTAGGATGTGGTAGTGAGGCCTTCATCTCTTACAGTTTTGGGCCACCCAAGGAGTCCTGTGAATGGGTGACAGGATCCAAAGCAGTAGGGCCCGGAGGTGTTTTTCCTGCCTTTGTTAGCTTCCTCTGGGTCAAGCTAAGAGGCAGGGGAGAGGGTTGGGCCAGCCCCCATTTTCCTGCCCTCTGTAACTTGGTGAGAAAGAAATTAGATCAGAGGATGATCTAATTTCTTTCTCACCTTCTAGACCTAGCCCAGGTCTAGAAGGTCCAAGAATGCAGGCTAAGCTGTGTGGCTCCTTGTTCTGAGGAATGTTTGGTTGGGTAGGAGTCAGGCAGTGTCCTGCCCTCTGAAGGCCTCCAGCACAGTGACTTCAGCACCTTGGACAGGGCCAAATGGTGGCTGGGACTGGGGGGGGGGCAGGGAGGCCCTTTATGTACTTTGGTGCCTCTGCCAGGCCCACATGGGTGCCAAGGCACCCAGAAAATCCAGGTGTGGGCCCCCAACCTACTGGGTGGACTGGACCTTCAAGACTGAACTCTCAGACTTGACTGCTTAGAATTGGGCAGCAAAAAGGAAGGGGTCTGGGTGGACCTCATCTTTGAGGGGACCCTCGGGTGTACTGCAGGACTGCCGTGCTGGGATGAGCGTGGGTGGCCAGAGCACCTGCCTGGTAATCTTCTGCCTCTTTGTCTACCTGCTGTGAGCTCCTTGAGGACAGGAACTGGGTAGGTCTCATTCACTGCTGTGCCCCAGAACCTAACAGAGCCCGTGTTGGGTTCAGCCCCTGACTGAATGCTGAGGAGACAGGCCACAGGGAGTGAAGCCTGGCTTGGAGCTGGTTGGGAACAAAGCCAGGACATTGGAGGGGCCTCTACTGGGACATGTCCATGAGTAGCTTTGGCTTATTTTCTATTGTTCTTGCTAGGAACCTCCTTCCCCAACCAGGCTCGCCTCCCCACTGTACCCCGCCTTTTGCCACATGACATGTGCCCACTTCTTAATCTCTTCCCACCCGTGGTCATCTTTCCAGGCTTTCCCAAGTCCATCTCCCACCCTACCTCCCATCACAGTCTCTCCTCAACTCCTGGGGTGCTGACTCTTGGGACCCCTTAGCACTAACAGGGACTTTGTGTTTTACACGTGTGTCTCAATTGCATGTTGTGGCACTCATAGTTTAAAGTTTTCTAAAGAAATTAATAATATATTATACTTAACCAATATATTCAAAGTGGTACCACTTCAAAATGTATTCAGTATTAAAAACTCATTAATGAGCTACTTACATTCTTCTTTTCAAATTCATGGTATATTTTCTGTTTGCAGCACATCTCTTTAGCCATGCTCCTGGGGCCCCAGGAGGGGTGGGGCATGCATTTAAACAGCTTTTGGTGCAGGAATATGCCATTTGAGTGCATGTGGTATGAAATGCCCCGCCTAGGCCTCTCTGCTTGCTGTCAACAGGTTAGAGAGCCCCCAGGAGCTGCATCTTGGATCTATGCTCCATCTCTGCCACTCTCCACTCTTATAACCATCAGCGGGGACCTCATTGCTTCTGTCACCTGTTCCTGTAAGGGGGGGCGAGATCATTTCTGCTTCCTCTCTATAGCACCAGAAGGCTCTAAGCTGCTATCTCAGGTTTCCCACAAATAGAAGGTGCTATATTTCATTTTGCATAAAAGATCTCAGCCTATATGGCCCTGCATTCGACTTTACACCATCCTGCCCTCCTCTCGCACCTCCCCGAGCTGGCCTAGAATATCAAGAGGCTCTCATCCTAATGGAACTGCCCATCCACTGAGGCAACAGGTGCCTCAAGTGCTACTGAGCTCTCTCCATTCCTGGAGGTGACCAAGGCCAATATATTGTTGCCACTGGACTGATGCAAAAGACAGTTCTGCAAGGGGGAGAAGTGGAGCAGAAGTTTAACAAGTTCTTTTCCCCACCTTGCCATTCAATTCCTTAGTTCCATCAAGTACCTATAGACAAAGGGAGGGTCTGAAGAGAGGTGAGGTATAGTTTCTGTATATATTCAGTTGAGGGAACAAAACAGTTTTTTTTTTTCTTAAATAGGGCTGGGGATCTAACCTAAGGCCTTGAGCATGCTAGACAAGTTCTCTATCACAGACTGATACCTCAGCCCTGACAAAACAGGCCCAGAAGAAATTTCTAGAAAAACCACGTGTTAGCCCAGGTGCCCTGACACAGAGGAGAGACTTGTGCACTGGGAGAGCATGGGAGCTCCCAAAACAGTAGGACCCATCCTCCCTCATACAGATTGCATTCAACCTCCTTGGACAATTCCTGGTGCCCCAGGCTGCTGTCCTAGGTCCTTCTGGCTGTGTGCACAGCCCTGAGCCTGCCACTCTGCAGTTCTCCTCAGGAGACTCGGGGCTCCCCTCCTCAGCTGGCTCTGGGTAGTGAAGAGGCAGCCCAGCAGCAGAGTTAAGCAGGTGTGTTCTGGAGCCAGGTCTCCTACAGTCCTGTGGCATGACTCACAAAGGGCACGACCTTGAGACGGTGATTCAGACTCTCTGCACTCCAGCTTTCTCATCCTTCCACCCAAGGGGGCTGATGAGAGTGTCTGCCTAAGAGTCATCATGACGATGGGGCAAGTTAGTAGTTGTGCCGGCAACTTGAAGGACTGCTGGGGATATGGCATCACTGTCTTTGCAAAATTAAATATGTGACATGGCTTCAGCCTTCCCCAGTGGCTCCCATCCTTTCCCTGGGCAGCTTCTTTAGTTGTCTCTGTCCCCTTTACAGTGGGAGACCCAGCACTGAGCACAGGACTTCAGGAGCATGAGACCTTGTCATCGCTCCATTGACCACTGTTCCATGAGCACAGCCAACTCCAGATGCTTAGTGTATACACCAGTGGCCTCATTATGTTCTTCGCATCAGTGTTGGTCTTCCACTGAATCTTGAGTCTATTTTTCATGTGCTGCTGAGTAATGGTCTCTACCTCATCCTGTACTTGTGCATCCAGACTTTGGCTCTCGGAGTAGAATTGTCCCTTTCTCCTTCTTTCTGCTGTCTGTGACTCCACTGCCCCAGCTGTCCAGATCTTTTTGAGGTCTGAGTCCTCTTGTTGGCAACAGATGGTGTTTCTCTACTCAGGAGCATTTGAGGGTCGGGCCAATGGGCCACTGTGTTGATCCCACATGCTCACCATGACTGCGGCACAGGGGTTTCTGGGATGGCACGATGCCAAGAAGATGGACCAGGCTTTATACCTGCCTTGGCCTTGGTGGCCTAAGTTTTCCGCTTTTCAGAAGCATTTGCCAGGAAGTTTTACGTCACTCATGGAACTCCTGTTTACGGCTTGTCCCCTCCAGTCTATGGCAGATGTCCATGTGGCCTGTCCTACTTCTCTGCCTCCTTCCACTCCAGCTGCTGGGCCTCTTCTCTGGGTTTGTGGCATGTCCGAGCTTCCTCCAGGTTTCTGGGTGGCTCTGTGTTCGCCATTGGGCAGGGAGCTCTTGAGGGCAGTGGACAGGCCCCTCCTCTCTGCTGTGTTTCTGCACATCGCCCGGGCACCTCGGTCCCCTCTGCTAGCCTTATGACTAGTTAGCTCTGAGTTTCAGGCACCCAGTCTGCCTGTCTTCCTCGAGTCCACGGAACACTTCCCGACCCAGGCTGCTCAGCTGCAGGGATGCCATGGAGGGGGCAGAGACACCAGGGACAGGAGGGAGGCTGAGAAAATCTGAGTGAGAGCAGCAAGGACTAGGTTGGGAGGTGGAGGGCCTGACCATTGCCTCTGCCTTTCTAGAATCATAGAACCAGAGCTGGGAAGGACCTCAGGGGTCTTCTAGTCCAAGCCCCTCACTTTGTAGGTGAAGAAGCCCAGGCTGGGGGAGGGGAGGGGGCTCAGCTTACAGAGCTGGATCTCCACCCCTAGCTCTGCCATGAACAAGATCAACACTGGATGGAGTTCATCTTAGAGACTCTCCCTAGAGACGGCTCCAAATGTCCACCTGCAGAAAGTCTGCAAAGGAGCCTTAACACTGAGGGCTAGTGGTGGAAGGGCTGCCATTCTCTGGGCATTTCATTGAAAAGAAAAGACTGCTGAGTTGGGTTCCTTCAACACCCAAACACAGGACTGTCTTTCCTGCTCTCTGTGCGTCTTGGCTATGCAGGTCTCTCTGTTCAGGGCTCTCAGGGAAAACACAAAGAATTGAGTGACAGTGAGGGTATTGGTGGTTTCATGTGCAAACTCCGAGTGAGGTGTACACTGAGCCCGAGAACCCGCTGTGTGAGGATGGCTAGGTCACTCAACTTCCAAGCCTTAGTTTTCTCATCTGTAGAGATGGTAGTTCATTTCCCCTTAGGTGGAGAAATGTCTGAATCCATTTCTGAATAGACTATAAATAGATGGGTGGCTTATCAACAACAGGAATTTATTTCTTATAGTTCTGGAGGCTGGGAGGTCCAAGTTCAAGGTGCCAGGAAACTTAGAGTCTGATGAGGGCCAGTTTCAGGGTTCACGGATGGCTTAATTCACTTTTTCATTTGTTCTTTGTGGATGTGCATGACGGTAGGGTGCATTTAGACACATTATACATACATGGAGTATAACTCATTCTAATTAGGATCCCATTCTTGTGGTTGTCCGTGATGCAGAGTTTCACTGGTCGTGTGTTCATACATGAACAGAGGAAAGTTATGTCCCATTCATTCTATTTCCTATTCCCATCTCCACTCCCTTCCCTTCATTCCCCTTTGTCTGATCCACTGACCTTCTATCCCCCGCTCCTTATTGTGAGTCAGCATCTGTATATCAGAGAGAACAGTTGGCCTTTGGTTTCTTGGGACTGGCTTATTTAGACGGCTTTATTTTTGCTATGTGCTCATATGGTGGAAGAGGTGAAGAAGCTCTCTCTCTTTTTTTTTTTTTTTTATAAAGGCACTGATGGCACTCATAAAGGCTCCACCCTCACAACTGAGTCACCTCCTATAGTCTCCACCTACTAAAACTGACACATTAGGTTTCAACATATGAATTTGGGGAGATGGACCCAAACATTTAGCTCCCAGCAGGTCATAGTGTTTAGTGGTTTAAATGTTGTCATAAAAAAGAGGGGTCCAGTAGCATCACCATCCTTCTCCTTCCCACTCCCTACTTCTCACTTCTTGTCACCCCGACCCCCAGGGCCCTCCTCTGCCCTCCTGG